AATATATAAAATCATTTAATAAAGGATATAATTTTCCATTTAATTTCCGTTTTTGTAACTTTATCTATAAAAGTTCGAAATTGCATAAACATTACCTGTCTGTTACCTGTAAATATTTACATAACATTTAATATTCTTATTTTCTTTAAAAAAAGAGGAAGGAGATCCTCTTTTTATGGAGTTGCACACAAGATCAACAATGTAAAGTAACCGAGTGTACTGTCATTGCGAAACATCCGTGGAAAGGCATAACGCCACGTGAAATTTTTATCGCTCGAATATGGCCGGAGCGTGTTTTTCATGCGCGTGATGAATACTAATTAATAACCGAGAAATAATTGCAGATTACAATATTCGCTAACCGGTTGCGGTGTGATTGAGGAGGAAGCCTCGGATAACGAGTGGATCAGTAGTTTAATAGGTACCAACAAATATCACTAGATTCCTGTGGAATTTACTAGTTCCTCCGACGAAACACTTCTCTTCACTGGGGTTACGTTAGTATTCATGGTACAAATGCATACAAACTAATTCTACGTGCAAAAATATATCGAAAACATCAAATGCAGTTGTTTTCCGTTCGTAGCTTTCTTTTCAAAGTAATGGAATTTAAAATACCTGTTACATTTTTGTACTACTCAATATCACTTGGTTGATGTGAATGTTCCATTTCTACTGTTTCTATTTATTTTAATGACTGTCAACTAGAGGTCATGGTTTTGAACGTGCATTAAAGATACACATGTACACGTGTAATTAATACATCCGTGTTTTAATCAATATTGTTTTTAATACACGGGTGTAATAAAATTTCTTTGGTGTTATAATCATTGCTTATACCTCTCTTTCCACCTAGTATAGAACATTCATTTGTAAAATTCATAAGTTACTTATTCCATAGCGGTTACCTAAACTGAAGCTTTTAAGTGGTCAACTATTGTATCGTTTACCCTACTTATCGGAAAGATTGTTGCGGTAAAATCGAACCGTCTGTTATCAGAAAATGTCAATATATTAGTTTTTTTTTATATTAAAACAGACGATTGCTCGATTAAACTTTTAACCATAGTTGTGTTACTTTTTTTTTATTGTTACCTGCAACCTACAAAATCATATATATATTTGTTTCGCAAATGACTTGCGTAAATGTACTAAAATATTCGAGTATTTTGTTATACATTAATACACTCACACGAAAAAAATATGAATATGTTAACACTTTGATATCGGATGATGTAGTAGTGCCTACGTCTTTTTTAAATAAGAACTAGAATAGTAAAAAATAAGACAAAATCGCTTTTCCTATATGTAAGGAATGAAAAATAAAAGTTAGGTAGTAGTTTCTGAATATTTTTAATAGACCAGAAGTTGTATATTTGCAAACACAAAAACCTTCCCGCCAGCAAAGTGTTGATTCACAGTTACCCGTATATTTTGATACACGTGTACCCGTGTCTTTTAGTACCCGTGTATTAAAGATTAGACGAATTGAAACACCGATATATTAATTACATGTGTACATGCATATTTAGATACACGTGAGAACTTCGCAGGAAAAAATTTTCACTACCAGTTCGGCTTATTTTTGCACAAAAAATGTTCGATTTTTTTATATAGGCTGTCGTAAATATCAAATCAAGGTAAAGATTATTTAATCTGATTGAAATTATATTAGAGATAACAATAGTTAAATATTGGAACAACATGTGCATATGATGAGCGATTGAAGGGTGCGTCGAATTGAATATTAAAAATATTGCTAAGTTGATTATTGATTAAACAGAATTGTGAGTTTTTTTTATGTTTCTTATATGGTTACGTTCGTAACAGTTTGTCGTATACTTGTAATATACTTGTAAGTAAATTAAGTTTCTCTTCGTATGAAATAAACATCTCACACATCTTAATAGATAGGAATTTACACAGTTAAGGAACCAACTTACTTTTCTGTAAAGTTATTGTGTCATTATTCTTTTCACGTTCTCATATGGCTAGTTAATTAAGAATTTTAAGATGTTTACGCAAATTTAGATTTCTTTAAACTAATTTACAGAAGACCAGAGTGAATTAAAAATCATTTTCTCTTAAATATTCTGGGAGGTCAAAAACAAGATGGATCTTTGATTAAAACTTTTCTTATATTCTATTTCAAATATACATCAAATATGGAAAACCTAACCAGTTACTAGTAATCGATGAGGAAATTTTTATATTAATATTAATACTAATATTTATATTAATATTAATACCTTTTAATAAATGAAATACATGTTTATGTGATGATCAGACATGTTTTTATAAATCGATTTACAAGAATATGAATTAAAATAGTCTATACGAATATCTATAAACATCTATGATTTATTTCTACCACAGGCAATCCAGTCAAAAACTTTAAACTAAATCCATGAACAAGGATTAATAGAACTCTTATTTTCAACTTAAAATATCCCACAATAGCGTAAACAAATATTTCTTTGATGCTGATTGTTATGAAATAGTCCACAGAAGAGTAAGTGATTTAAGTTCCTAGTAACTTGAATGAAAATAACTAGTCAGACATTGAGTGTTTCGTGTGAAAATAGCGCGTTAGGGATCTTATTGTTAGGTCTTCGTCAGACGAGACAGTAAATGTTTGACAACCGTCTCTCAAGACACATTAACACATTTTCTACCGTTTTGGTATTAGTTACCAAACCTTAGAAAAAGAGATCGGTTATTTCCATAACGGTACTAGCAGAACCACCGCGAAATTATCTGCAAGAAATTTTCCCCGGTAAAGTCGCATTAACTTCAGCCGAATACGTTAGAACAAAAGACTATTGCGTACTCACCACTTTCCTTTTCCTTGATTTCTACGCGGGTCGTGACTAGGGATGGAATCAAGAGTATCTCGATAGAATCTCGTACCAGATCTTCGAAAATTACATAGTCTTATTACAAGAACAAGCAATAATGGATATCTGATTGCGAACAATGCAAATCTGAAGAAACGATGACGAAGGTACACGAACGGAAAAGAAGAAACGCTAGGCGGGGCCACGATAGAATTGACGGCTGAAAGAAATCCAGACTAGGAAACCAATGTGTAATCGTCAGATTTTTAACTACTACTTGTTTACTGAATGGTGTATTACTACAGTTCTTTGAAGAGCGAGAAAGCGACGAGACCTGAGGAAGTGTCTTCAAACAAATTAGCAGATGTTCTCCGTCTGATGCAATTCCAGCTTCATACATATACATAACATTGTAAATACGAACAATCTTGTGTATAAATACACTGTTAGAGGCATTTTTCTGTTTGGAAAACCAAGAGAAAACCATTTTTTTAAGTATAATTCTCTGGAAATGAACATTCCAAGTTCGATGAAATATTTCGATTGCAAGTAAATAATTCAAACAGAAGAAAGTAAGGTCGAGCGATCAAAACAATATGACAGTAGTACTTTAGATTGAATGAGGCAATCTCATAAATAACGAACGACATCATTCACAACTTTTCAATGGTTTCAAAAGATGATAGAAACCCTAAAATCATAGTACAATAATATCTCGATGAGTGCAACGTACGCGGGTCCACTTCTGAGCATTCATGGCAAAAGGGAAAGGTTTTAAGCCTTTCATAAATTTGTTTTTTACCCGAAGCTGAGCCTCTGCTTCGCTTCTATTTCCTCTGTTTTGATTGATTTCAGAGGGGGACTCCCCCATGGTGGAAATAACAACGTTGCTCGTGTCGTATTCATCGAGGAATGACTCTCTTTTTTTAAATACTTTATTTTGTTATGGAAAATAGTCACATTTACGCATATCAAAATCAACTCTGACTTCTGACATGAAATATCTTCTTAAATAACTTTAACACCACTTGCGTGATTTATATCGAATTTTTACATTCATTGCTTTTAAGAGTTACGTGTAAATCTACCTCTAATTATAATCGAACTGATAATCCATATGTCTTTCAAAATTAATTGCATATTTCACAATAATAATAGTAAGAATGTGTACTTAAGTTCGATTTTTATTCAACATAATACAGTATTCTGTATAATCATGTTTTGCCGATTTGTTTACAATCGTATCACTATCCCCGCTTTATCGAGGGTCTGGCTGTCAAAGGCAGATTTTGTCTTAAACTTTCTAACAGCATGAGAGAAGAATAATGTTGAACAGACAGCAGCTCTTTATATTTATAATGAAAGTGTTAAAATATTTTGTTAAGATTAATAAAGCTTTTACTTCATTTTGAAATTAATAAAACTTTAACCAAATGAAATAAATTTCTGTTGTTTAAATTAATCTAGAAAAACGTGAATTTGCATTAAGATCTACAGTTTGGTGATGTGTAAGTAATAGAAATCGAAAGAGAAGCAAACCGCCGGCCAATGGTACGAATACACAATCGCGCCTACTGCTCCCTGTATGTACACTCGCGAGCAAACTCGGCTTCCACTAGGAGAAAAAGTGACGTAGGGAAAAGGTTTCCTATTACTTAGTATTGGGAATTATTGACATTTATGCTTAAATTATCATTCAATTTAACATTTATTTCAGTACTTGAAATAAATTTACTAAGTGATAGGAGACCCTTTTCCCACGTTACCTTTTCCCCTAGTGGAAGCCGAGTTTGCTCATGGGTGTACCCTCACGAGCAAACTCGAATTCCTCTAGGGGAAAATGTGAGGTTGGCGAATGGCCTCCTACCATTTAGTTTTGGGAGTTACTGCAGACTTCGTGAAATAAGTTTTTGTAGCAGTATTCAATTCGAATCAGTTTCTGATCCGACGTGATATAATATACTCTTTTTTAATGTTATTGCATTGGTTCAAATATCACAAATTCGGGAAGTTCCAGTTTAAGACAAAATTTTTGGTAAATCATGAAGTTTATGAGGGACTTCAATCCTACACAACTCTTATCTATTTTTGAAGTTAAAAACAGCGAACTAAATTCTACCCTACTTCTATGTCTTCTAAAGGATTGAAAAATTTCCAACTTACAACTCCTCCCTCTGACGTTGAGACAGCACCATTTTCATGATCCTCGCGTGTGTTTACTGGCTGATACTCAACAGTGATTGGAATGAGCGCGACTAGATTCTTCTCCAGTCAGCTCCAAATTGGTTTAGTACCCAGCCATCGACATCGCCTGGAAAATAAAGTTAAATATTCCACTCACACAATTAAAATTCCCTAGATTTATAACTTTAAAATTGTACATAATATTATGTAACGATCTATCGCGTTCATGAGTTAACATGCGAAAAATAAAGTAGAGAAAAAAATAAAGAAAAATCTGCTATACAAAATCAAATATAAACATGGTTTTCTCTGTTCCTGCGAAACTATGGATTAAATCGTTTAAAATACTTCCAGCGAAACAATTTCTTGGTACATACAATTACAATGGGAAAACGCGGGACTTGAACACGTGAGAGCGGTTTGTCCCGAGCTCCTTAATCGGTACAATAATATGCTTCCTAAATGTAACTTATTTTACTTTTTAATAGGCATCGCCCATTTTCTACAAAAATATAAAAGCAACGGTATATGCATTCGTAGACTGTAAATTTTTTATTGTTCAAAGGACAAAAAAAGTCTAAACAAAGGTGTAACTACATTTTCATTTTATTTTTAGCTTCCCTGAACTCTTAACGGCTGAACGAAAGTGTGCTCAATTTTTATTTCTTGTAAAATAATATGGAAATATAGACATTTGCGTACATATTATTTATACAATTGACAATCTTATTATGTATTAATGTACCCTCAGTAGAAACAGCAAATTTGTGTCAATTCTATTTTCTCAATAAAACAGCGTAAAAAAATCAAAATTTGCATAAAAATCTACAACCCATATGTCAGAAAACTCTTAATAGAATAAATATATTTTTGTTTAATTCTAAGTTTTACAGACTGACATTACAAGTTTTGTAAGTTTGAATAAATTTGCAAAGTGAATAGTAAACTATTAATACAAACAATTTTTTTATTTAATTCCCGTTTACACACAAACAACGTAAAGAAATTCAACAATTCTAAGTCTAAATATATTAATTACTTTCTTTCTGTATTCTGTTTAGTATTTGTAAATAATGCTCTCATTTTTTTAATTAATTAGGGACCCAGCTTTCGCTGTACGGTTACGAAAGTAGAAACTTTAAGCAACAAAGTGGGAAAAGTAGTGAAAATACAGAACAGTTATGTAAAAGTTAATTATCATTTGCTTTAATAAATCTGTAACATTTTATTCCGTCGAGAAATAACAACGCGTTAGTACCGAAATATCGATTCTTCACCCTTGCAAAACGGTGCCTATGCAATTCGTAGAATGACATAACATTTGGCAAAATACGCGGTCAAATAAATAGAAACGAGATTGGCCAGTGATCTCCGAGTGACAGTGAGAAAAGTCTGCTCTGATTGGCGAAAACAAGTCGAAATCAGCCAATTAGAGAGCACGAACTAGCAGCCGCCATTGTTTCTCGGTAACGTTCGACTTCGATTAACGAGAAAAACCCAAAAGTAATTCCGAAAAAAACACTAAATAAGAAAATGTACACATCTAAAACGAAATACCATGAGAGGAAGGACCTTGACAATCGTTAGAGCTTGCTGCGTCGTCGCGACGCTTTATGACGATGCTTATCGGCGCGATGCGCTGTAATCGATAAACCGGCTGTACGCTGTACGCCCACCCTCGCTGCCGCGTATGTTTCACCTTGCGGTGCATTCAAATATTCATGCCGGCCTCTTTCATCCGTCTGCCCTCAATTTCATTAATAAACCACACACAAATTATTTCCCTACATATACATATAAGAAGGTCGAGTGTTTTGACAGAAACCGGGTTAACATGCGAATACTCATACTAGAATTTGTACGTTAACAGTGGAAGAAAGATATGCCTGTAGTAGTTTGAATAGTTAGATACTACAGGAAGATTGATTTCTAGTTTATCTTTGCAAGGCTCGTTTCTATGTGATATTAATCACCTATCATTTTTTGCCACTATTTCCGGGATCATCAGTACGAGTGAGCGACTCTTGGCCTTCTCGACCCCGCGTACCGAGATCTACCTGTGGCTTCTCTTTTCTCGTCTAATCTTATAAGCTGGCACGAAGAGTTGAGATCATTGGCAATCTCAACGGCGTAAAACGTGTCGAGGTATCTCAGTTCACACCGTTCGAGTGGAACAAAGAAAGACTTGTTTAGCAACAACAGCAATTATCATGGAAAAAAATATTGGTAGCATTAAGGACGAGAATGGAAAATGGAAAACAATTGTTTGATTTTCTATCGATGCGTTTATATACCATGAAAGAACGTCATCAGACTGTCGAGACGTTGACAGAGCCGACAGCTGATCGCTGACTCGACGGCAGCTCGCGCAGCAACGTCTGTCAAAAACTTCGATCGAATTGAGTTTCGTTTGTGCATCTGACAGATAAGATAATGAGTAAAACCGAGAGACAACGAAATTCGGTACAAAGGTTTAAGTACGACGGAACGGCAGTTGCGGCAACGCGGTTGTAGCAGCGCACCACGCAAGCGGTCATTCGCGAAAAAATCAATTCGAAGTGACGTGCAACATGTACGTTGAATATGTATGGGACACGGCTCGATGACTGGCCAGGAATCATCGATCAGCGTGCCAGTCGGTTTGTCGTCGACTGTACGATATCAGGTGATGTCACGTTAGTTTGAAAAGCACTGGTGCGGAATTCGCCAGATGAACGCGGAACAACCGTTTGTTGTAAATCGTGCACGGCCATTTTGCTAGAACCTGTCACGTCTGGTTGCTGTGGATTTTCCAGAGAGTCCGACCCGCTCGCCCATAAATACATTGTTAAAAACAAACCTCGTAGACTGACCGCTCGATACTCACGTCTTTTTGTCGGAGTAGCAGTAACCGGGATCCTTCAAGATCGGAAAAAATCACGGGAAAACCGGACGAACACAACCACCGAAGAACTACTCGAGATAACTTCTACGACAGAACTGTCTCGGAAGGTGGCGCTTGCGATAATCTTCAATCCCGACGCATGCGTCAAGTATCGATGTCACGAATCTCCTGTTATAGGGATCTTCTAGGGATCTATGTGCTTTGATCACCTTTACTATCCTAGGAACGTTTTAATATCTTATTGATTGACTTTTTTTTTGCTATTCTTCGCAATAATTTTTATTATCATGAAAATACAAGATAATGGAGAAAATTCCACCATTTTATTATACATCAACGGATCAAGTAGTTGTTTATCTTACTTTAATAACCTGAAGGTTACCAGACGCAATGTGTAGAGCTCTCACTTATGACATATTTCATGCAATTTAATTAAAAAATAATAAAGAAACTGCACAAATTATGACTAAATGTTTTTTCCAACAGTGTCAAATTGTTTGTTGAATTTTTCTAAATCAAAGTTGTCCCCTCGCAAGCAAGCTCGGCTTCCGCTAGGGAAAAAGTGACGTAAGGGAAAGATCTCCTACCACTTCGTCTCGGAATTATTGAAAATTATGCGAACTTAACATTCGGTTAAACATTTATTTTAGTATTTGAAATAAATTTATCAAACAGCAGAAAGCCCTAATCCCTACATTGCTTTTTCCCCTAAAGAAAGCCGACCCACCCAGTCAGGCAGACCTGCTCTAAACAAATATTACTAGATTCTGCTGTAGACCTGATGTGCAGATTTGCTGCAAATTTGCTAGAGGATCTACTACAGCAGTACTGACAGTAAACTAGCAGCAGAAATATAACAAGCCTGGTGTCATGATGTGTCGTCAGAAATTGAAGAGACCTGCTAATATTCTGACGGCAGCTTCACCTCACAAATGCAGTAGAACTGCGTAACTTACTTTATTGCAGATTAAATCGATTACACTTCATCTAAATGTATCTGAAATCGATATTTAAGTACTTAAATGATTATTTAATATGAAATCGCAAAATTAAATGTATATGTTAACAAATATTAATAATATTCGCTAATGAAATATTAACTTTTCTGTTTTGCTGGCGTTTATATTTCTCCTATTTTATCGTTTATAATAAGAAATAAGTATAAGTATAGACATATACTAGGGATCTTACTATTGCTCGGATGTTCGGATATCCGAGTTTTGAGTATCCGAGTACTCGGATATTCATAATTCCGGATATTCGGATATCCGGATACTTGTTTCATTTAAATTCGATCATTCTGATCTGACTTCATTTGTGCTAATAATACTCAGAATTCATGCTTTACCGGTAACGTCGGGTATTGACATTAAAATGGTAACAGGGCTAGTGGCTAGTACCACAGAGGAGACATAAGAATAGACTTAACATGCAATGTAATTTTCTGTCCCATGCTTCGAGGGCGTCAGAAGTCTCTTACCATTTTAGTGTC